ACATGCAAAATGTATTTTTAAGAGGGGTGTATCTCTCCCATCTAAAACATGTTGTCAATGCTCCACAGATGAAACTGGAAACAATGCTCTGGTTCAATGTCCGTTTGCAAAAACTGTGTTGGAGTGGATATTCAAATGGTGTAACATCCTAATGGCGAATTTTCAAACGGTACATGATGTGTTAGATTATGCATCAAGGTGGGGCAATTGCATCAAGAAGAAGAAAAGGTTACATGGAATTTGCTATGGAACTATATGGTGTATCTTGAAGGCAAGGAACGAGAGCTTATTCAATAAAAAAAGGGTATGTGCTACCAAGGTGGTTGATATCATAAAGACAACTACATTTCTATGGTTCAATCATAAAATCAAGGAAGATGGTACAGATTGGAAGTTCAATCTCTTTTGTAGTCCGTAATTGCATTTCAATTTCTTTTTTTTTCCTGTCATTTGTACTTTTGTTTGTGCTCTCTAGTAACTTGCTAGAGGTGGATCTTCCTTATATATATTATCCTCGTTGGTTAAAAAAAAAAAAAAAAAAAAAAAAAAACCAAAAAACCAAAGATGAGTGATCCTTTATTTTTTTATTTAGTCAAAAGGTGAATATACAAGATGTCTGATGTGTCCACGTACACACCAAAATTAATTTCCAACTTATTGGTCATTAAATGAAAACTCTTTATATACTTTGAATTTTTTTTGCCCAACAAGACAAATATTGATGACAGTATTTTTTTTTTTCAATTTGATGCTATTAAAATTTTGGTCAATAATATATATATATATATATATATATATATATATATATTTGAAATTAATTAAACGTTTGACATAAACGAAATAACGAAATAGTCAAAAAAAATTTGGTTTTAAATAAGAGATGCTGATTATAAAAAGTGTTCAAATTATTTATATAAAAAAGTTCACTTTATTATTTTGACTACCAGAAATATCAGCTTTCGTCTTTAGCCCCATAAATGTTTGTCGTCATGGTCCACCTAAATGAATCGTCTGCTCCAAATAAACTCAAGTTTCTCCTGTTTCTTTGTAAATTGCAATGGCGATGGCACCTTCAAAACTCAACACAACTCTTGTTATCTTCATCGCCATCTCCTTCCACCTCACTTCCTCTGCATATCCCTTAAGCAACACCATAACCACCACCTGCACCAACGTCCACCACCACAACTCCTCCCTCTCCAAATGCATGTACGTACAAACACACGCCGATTGCCACCCAAAAGGCTACATCAACTACCTTAAGTTCTTCTACTGTACTCTATCCAGATTTCCTCAATTGGGTTTCCTTCTCCTCCTCCTATGGCTCCTGATACTCTTTTATGTGTTGAGCAACACCGCCTCCGATTACTTCTGCCCTGCCGTAGAAAACCTGTCAGAATTCCTCAACCTATCCCCCGCCATCGCCGGAACCACTCTGCTTCCGTTAGGAAACGGCTCACCGGATGTTTTCGCCAGCATAATCTCCTTCACTGCTTCCGGCGACGGCGGAGATATAGGCCTTAACAGTATCCTAGGTGGGGCAATTTTCGTTTCAACCGTCGTCTTCGGAATTCTCAGCTTATTAATCTCTTACCGACGGAAAGTCGTCATCGTTGATAAACCCAATTTCATCAGAGACGTAGTTTTTCTCCTCTTTTCCCTTTCAAATCTACTCGTAATCATCCTAATTGGGAAAATCAGCTTCTGGGCATCCATTCTGTTTGCTTCCACATACATCATTTACATTTCTTTAGTCTCTTACATGCATTTCATCAGCAAGAAGAAACAAAAAATCCCAAATGACCACCATCATCATCAGGGTCCCGGACTACCATTACTGGCTTCTGTTAATGCTCAAGAAAAACGAAAACCTTCTGCAGATAAAGTTGTACCCCACAGAAAAGGTGTCATCATATTGCTTCTGTATGTTGCCGCGTTGCCACTTTACTTGCCAAGAAAGCTTACAATTCCATTGATAACACAAGAGAAATGGTCCAAGCCTTATGCTGTCATTTCGGTGGCGTTAGCCCCAGTTACGTTGGCTCTTATTTTGAGCACACAACAAGGCTTAATTGTCACAAAAGCTACCATGGTGACATGGTCTATAGCATTGGCAATCGGGCTTGCTTTAGGGACTTGTACATTGGCTTTCACAAGTAGTGCCATGGCACCACAAAAGTGTTTGTTTATTTGGCATGCAAGTGGGTTTCTAATGAGTGTCATATGGACATACATCACAGCTGAGGAATTGGTATCTTTGTTGGAGTCACTTGGGACAATCATTGGGATGAATCCTTCAGTTTTAGGGCTCACTATCCTAGCTTGGGGTAACTCACTTGGTGACTTGACATCAAATGTTGCTATGACAATGCATGATGGGCCCGATGGGGCCCAAATTGCCATAACCGGATGTTATGCAGGACCAGTGTTTAACATCTTTGTGGGATTAGGGTTTTCGTTTGTGATTGCTTGTTGGTCAGATTATCCAGTGCCTTATATGGTTCCGGGGAACCCTCATTTGTGTGAGACTGTAGGGTTCATGATATGCGGTTTGTTATGGGCTCTTGTGGTATTGACCAAGAGGGAAATGCAACTCGATCGAACACTAGCGGTTGGTCTTTTAGCAATATACTTTTGTTTCCTGTTTGTTAAGGTTGCTAGGGTTGTTGGATTGATTGATGTTTCTGTATATAATCCATTGAAAACCTTATAAAAAGTCATGTTGATATATTAGTTAGTGTTTCGCAATAATTTTGTTTGTATTTATTTATGCATAGATGTTTATAGTTTGATTTTGTAAACACGGGTCCCTTCTTAAACAAATTGATATGTTGTTAAAAGACCGTTTATTTCAACACGTGAAAATAACCTTTTCCTATATATTTTTTTGACTTCTTTATATGACTTATCTACATCATCCTTTATTTAAAGCTTTTTAGCCTAATTATTTTTAATCTAGTAATAGTAATTAGATACAACAATTACTTCACGTTCTCTTTTCAGCTGTTCTTTTCCCATTGAGATGTTCCCTTCCATTGTTAATCTCTACAAGTAAAAACAAAATAAAAAGACAAAACTAAGACGATACTATATCATGACTTTGCCTACATGATACTGATTGTTCTTTCTATATTAAGATTTCACCATAAAAATAAAAATAAAAAAATGAACCGATCGAAAATCTATTTCCATTTGAACTTTAGTGCAGAAATCATTACACGAGGCTTATTAGGTATTTTTGTTTTATTGAATATAGGGTTTTGTGGAGCTTGTTGTCCGTGAAAAGAAAATGGGTTATTAAAAATAGTTTTTATGTGAAATTGTGCACCTCTTTCTTTCGTCACTAATTTGAATTGGTCTCATATCATATCAGTGTCCGAGATTTTGTCATCACCAACAATGTGCCTAAGTTGATGTTGACATTATGGAGGCAAACGCATGATGTGTTAGGCATATCCGGATATGTGTCCATTCAATTTCCCTTCATAAATTTTACAATTGCGAGTTTGTGACAAACGTTTTGATTTTTGCATTTTATTTGGTGAAATAAAAATTAAGAGATTGATTTATTCATGTTGGCATTTGAATAAAAAAAGTGAGTATGGTTTGAATTTTAAGGACTTATCCCACTTACTAAAAAATAGAAAACATCCACTTATACATATTTATCTTACGGGTTATAGAGGTGCACAAACCGGATCTGGGTTTTTACATACCGGGAAATAAATCTAAACCGGATTTTTCATAACCAGGTATAAGATAGCTGGATAGGTGATAAATACGCCGGATACAAATTGGATGCCCGAAAAAACTTGATGCCATTTTTGTTTTTTCGGATTTTTTATCCTGAAATGCATATGATGTTGGAGTTACAATTTTATTTATTTATTTATTTATTTTTTAATATAGATATGAAAGTTGGATAATCCAAAATTTTCAAATCATATCCTATCAAAATCTAGTTATATCGGATACGAAAATTTAAGCCAATATCCGGATAAAATCGTTCCGAATAATCCAAAAATTCAATATGAACTTATCCAATTTTATCTAATTCAAAAAATAATAATTCAAAACGAGGTTTAATACACCCACATGCACTTTTACGGAATTATGGTAATATGGTTAACAAAAATCCATAAACACTTTACACTTGTATAAGACTCAGGGGTTGTGGGCTAAGTGGCGAGTTTATGTATCATTAAGGTAGGCCTACCATTTTTTTAATAAGAGATATATAGAAATAAAAATTGTGACCCGTCTTAATAAAATTTAGTGAACTACCTTAATCTTTTGGAAACAAAACATATGAATAAATCAAGATTTTTAAATCACATTTTATATTTCAATAGCCCAAATAAATAATCTATCCAATGTAGAGGTGCACAAACGTCGGTTTTAGCCAAAATAGTTTTTTTTTTAATTATTATTTCTTAGATCTGGTCCGGTTTTAACAAGTTTTAGTAATGATACAATTGTTAAAATATATCAATACATAAGACCTTGTGTAAGAAGTTTAATTTTTTGCTTATACGACCCGACCCGACCCGGAACCGCAACTAGTATTTTTTATTTATTTTATATTGATATCATTTAAATAGTGAACCATATGGTTTTACGTACGTTCTAGACTCGCCACTGCGTGGGCTATGACAATTTATGGCTATGGAAACTTATGTATATAGTTAGTTTGACATCTATTATTGCTCTTCCTTTCTATCACATGGGTTCTTGTTTTGGACAATTTATAGATGTTGGAAACCTTGTATGTTTTGTCGCCATTTTAGAGCACCAAAAAGAAAAGGATCCCTCTCTTCTTGTTCTTTATTGTCATGTGATCACATGGGAAACATATTCAAGTTTTATGCTTGAATAGATTGTCCTATTATAGAGAGAGTTTGGCACGCGATAAGTTTCTTTCTTAGATGCCTTACTATTTGTATTCAATCTGGATAAATACGTTGGCTATTTTCAGTTGTGTATGATCTACATATATATAGAATATAGTTATATTTCATATGCATAAACGTAGCTTCTCATTTTCGGAATCGGAGTCGGATCGGGTCATGTCCCGTTTCAAACAGGAGTTCGGTTTAAATAACTGAAAATCAAGAATCCTGTGAACCCCAGTGATCTCCCAAATGTCCATTCCCTGCCAATCCTTTTCTTCTTTACTTCCTGCTATCATCTCTTCTCGTACTCCGTCCGCCCAATTTCACTTCCGTATATACAACAAAAAAACCCGCCCGACTGGTATTTCGACCCAACTCCGACATGGTCTTCCCCTCATCACTAAATGCAGAACAAGAACCTACCATTGTTACTGCTCAAGTTCAACAATGCCACTTAAGGACTCCGCTTCGGCACCCCCTCAGGTTCCTTTGTATCATCAATAGTATGATTCTTTGTGCCCTTGATTAGTTTTGGTTTGTTTATTCTCATATGTTGGCATTCTGCCGTATGTTTTTATTTATTTATTTATTTTTATTTTAAGGATACTTTATAACGAGTTCAAAGATAATCAAAAAGTAGTTTTAAATGGTTTTCAAATATAATCCCAATTCACAATTTAAAGTAGTTGTAAAGGGGATTTAGATACAAAAAAGTACCGAGTTCCTGCTTGAATAGTTTCAATCGGTGACTTGAGAAAGAAAAAGAGTTATATCCGAAGAAGGTGCTTCATCCTCATTGCTATTGACCATGTATCATGAATTGCAGGATAGCCTATCCTACTCTCGAGCGTACTGGGTCTCTAGTTCAATAATTGCTTGGAATGTGGATGCTGTTGGTGGTTCGTGTTTTTTATACTCCAGTAGATCTGCAGCTCTATCTGTTACAGATAATGGAATTGAAGGTATGTGCTCTACCACAAACTGGGATTCTTATAAATCGATACGTAATCTTCAATGATTAAAATTTTACCATTGATAGGCTCCGATTTCAGTATTAAGCTCGAAAGGCATGATCAGAGGCTTCCAGAAAATGTAAGATAATGGTTTTTAGTAGAATCTGATTGATAACCTCATAGTGTATAATTACGTAATTTTCCCACCATAATGTGTCAAGTATTCCAGGTGAGAGATAAGTTTCCTCATATACAAGATTATAACGCTTTTAAGGTTCCTACAAGTTTGGATCCCAAGAGTATTCTTAAAGACCAACTGGCTGTTGCTTTCTTTGACTGTAAGTATTTATGTTGCCATTTCCCTTTTTGGCTCAAAAATTTTAATTACAAACTTTGTGTCTTTGTGCAGCAAGTGGACACTGCATTAGTGTTACTTGTTTACAGCTACCTGGTGTTCTTGATGACATTTTCTCTTATTGGGGTCCTCTTGGTGCTATTTTTTTAAATGAAGTTGTCTCACTTCATCTTTGGGCTCCAACTGCTCAAGTATAACTTACTTTAATTATCAACTTTCTATCTTTTTTTTTTGAAATATGTTAAAGTTGTTGATGGAAGTTCTTGGGTTCATAAAACAGAATGTACGTGCATTTATTTATAATGGACCCTCAGGCGGAGAACCACTTGGGATTGTCAATCTTAAGGAATCCAATGGTGTTTGGAGTGTGAATGGTCCAAGAAGTTGGGAGGGGTGTTATTATGTCTATGAAGTATCTGTCTACCATCCGAGCACCTTGAAGATAGAAAAGTGTATTGCAAATGACCCTTATGCCAGAGGGTATGTCTGTAATTTTACACTTTACAGCACCCTCATCTTGTGTTTTTTATCATGTTCTTGTTGTTTTGGTAGGCTTTCAGGTGATGGGAAGCGGACTTTTTTAGTCAATCTTGATTCTGATGCTTTAAAACCTCAGAAATGGGATGATTTAGCAGACGAGAAACCTAATATTGCAGATTTTTCTGACATTAGTATCTATGAGCTGCATGTTAGAGATTTTAGGTATGCCATATAGCATAAACCGTATTTTAGTTGGTAAAATGACAAAATTGTCCTTGTTCTTGATCTAACATATGATTTCATACAGTGCTAATGACCCTACGGTGGATCCTGAAGTTCGAGGAGGTTATCTTGCCTTCACTTCTCAGGTAGGTTTTGTAATTGATACCCATGTTAAAAATACAAACATATTTGATCCTTTTTTATTATAATATAAAGTTCAAACATTATTTTGTTGAAGGACTCGGCTGGTGTACTTCATTTGAAAAAATTATCAGATGCTGGCCTCACACATATTCATCTACTTCCAACTTTTCACTTTGGAGATGTTGATGACGAGAAGGAAAAATGGAAGTCTGTAGGTAAGAAAAACTCTTCATTTCCTTCTTTCTTATTATTCAAATTTTACAGTGTATGATTTTATGATTTAAATTGCAATGAAAAAGATTAGATATGGAGATGCTCAAATCTCTGCCACCAGATTCACCTGAGCAACAGGAGTACATCACAGCCATCCAAAATGAGGATGGATACAACTGGGGGTAATTCTAATTCATGCTCTTTAATTCTTCATTCTAAAATTTGTTTTGTTCTAAAAATTTAATTTTTTTTTTCAATAAAAAGTTATAATCCTGTGCTGTGGGGAGTCCCTAAAGGAAGCTATGCAACTAACCCCAATGGTTCATGTCGTATAATAGAGTTTCGGAAGATGGTTCAGGTTAATATTTATTCATCTTCATAATTTATAATTAGACTTTTATAAGATTTATTGGACTTAATTTTCATGATGATGTAATGGAATGCAGGCACTTAATTTTATAGGTCTTCGTGTTGTGTTGGATGTTGTTTACAATCACTTACATGGGAGTGGTCCTGTAGGTGACAACTCTGTGCTTGACAAGGTTGTTCATTTGATTCTCAAGCTCCATTTTTTTTTCTATGTTAAATTAAAAATGGTAATTTTGAGTTGTTTATAGATTGTTCCAGGTTATTACTTGAGAAGAAATGCAGATGGTTTCATTGAGAACAGCACATGTATGAATAACACTGCTAGTGAGCATTTTATGGTTGATCGTTTAATCATTGATGATCTTTTAAACTGGGCAGTTAATTATAAGGTAAAAGTGAAATAATTTTTTTATCCATTGCATTTTGCACCTCTGATTCTATGTTTGTAATAATTATAAGTTTTGTGATTCTTACATACAGATTGATGGGTTCCGGTTTGATCTTATGGGTCATATGATGAAAAGTACAATGGTACAAGACTCTCTCACAAAACACAAAACTTTTAATTGTTTTGTAACTTACTTTTTCTTTTATCTAATAACAGATGAGGGCTAAAAGTGTGCTTAAAAATTTGTCAAGGGAAAATGATGGAGTGGATGGTTCTAGAATCTTCATGTGAGTATTGATAGTCTTTAAACTTTCATCATTTTACTTGCAACAAATTTTATTAAAAAATTGAATTGAATTTCTGGCCTTTTCAGATATGGTGAAGGTTGGGATTTTGGTGAAGTGGCGAATAATGGTAGAGGGATAAATGCATCACAATTTAATCTAGCAGGAACTGGAATTGGGAGGTATACCTTTTCATTTGAATATTTTTATAGCTGGAGTGTTTATTTTTTATACAATAATATATGATGTATTTGATTAATGTATTTCATTCAGCTTTAATGATCGAATTCGAGATGCATTGCTTGGTGGATCTCCATTTGGGCATCCTCTTCAACAAGGGTTTCTCACAGGATTATCTTTACAAGTAATGATTAATCCATCTTTTTAATTTATCTCCCAATTTGCAATCTTGTTATTTATTTCACCAAAAAGATTGCAACTTTTTCCTGATAATAATTTGTACAGCCAAATGGTCACGACCATGGTACCGAGGCTAATGCAGCACGCGTACTTGACGTATCAAAGGATCACATTCAGGTGAAAAAACGGAAACTTTCTAAAAAATAGAACTATTTAAATAATAATATTATTATTATTGTTATTATTTTTTACTTTTTAGATTGGAATGGCTGCAAACTTGAAGGAGTTTGTGCTAACAAACCGTGATGGCCAAGAGGTAAACTATATACATCATACATCACCTCAAATTTAAGCTTCCATTTTTAGCATCTCACATTTCAATTATTATCCATCATCTAAAATTTTATAGTTTTTTAGGTTAAAGGATCTGAAATTTTAACTTATGGTGGAGATCCTGTTGCATACACTTTACAACCAGTGGAAACAGTAAGGTTTTTTTTCGTATTTAAAAAGCATGTCTTATTAAATATTTAACATCGAGGCCTTTTCATCTTTCATTTTCTATATTTTCACTTTTACAGATTAACTACGTGTCTGCTCATGACAATGAGACCCTGTTTGATATTATTAGTTTGAAGGCAGCAATGGAAATTTCCATTGATGAGAGGTGCAGGATAAACCATTTAGCAACAAGTATAATAGCACTTTCCCAGGTTGAGATTTTTTTCTAGTATGAACATATTTGTTTTAATCCATTTATCCCAAAAAGAATATTATTTTATAAAATTGTACGTTATAACAAATATGACAAATTGTAGGGTGTTCCATTTTTCCATTGTGGAGATGAGATCCTGCGTTCCAAGTCTTTGGATCGTGATTCTTACAATTCTGGTGACTGGTTCAACAGGTAAAATTGTAGGGTGTAATGGTGTTCCTATTTTAGAGTCTTAGACTTTATATGAAAATTAATTTAATATCTGTAAGTCATAATTTTCAGGTTAGATTTTAGCTACAACTCAAATAATTGGGGTGTTGGCCTTCCTCCGAAAGAGAAGAATGAGAAAAGCTGGCCAATGTAAGATTTTATGGTTTTATTTTCTGCATAATTTAATCCATTTTTTGTATATGGTTCTATAATGCCTGACCATTTGTCAGATATCTAAAATAACTTTGAATGAAAACAAATAGACAAATATTCTTATTAACCCAAATCAATTCCTTTGTTTTCTTGTTCAGAATTAAACCAAGATTGGCTTCCCCATCATTCAAGCCTCATAAAAACCACATATTATCTGCTCTTGAAAATTTCCAAAATTTGTTACATATCAGATACTCTTCAATTCTCTTTCGTTTGAGGACTGCAAATGCTATCCAGGTCAGTGTTTATATACCAATAAGTCTTTTGACTTTATAAAAACTTGAGATTTTTTTTTTATAAATATTTATTGGAAAGTCAGATCAGATGCTGATAAAAACATAAAACATTCATTCATCCAGGAAAGAGTACGATTCCACAACACGGGTGGATCTCAGGTCCCTGGTGTCATAGTCATGAGCATTGAAGATGGCCATGAAGGAGTTCCAGGGTTGACTCAACTTGACCCAGAGTCAGTGATTTTTTATTTTTCTTATTTGTATTAATATTTGTTACCATTTAATGATCAAATCATGATTTTTTTTTTCTATAATAACAGATATGCATACATTGTGGTTGTTATCAATGCTTGCCCAACTGAAATCTCATTCACAAGCGCTGTGTTTCGAGGGAAACTTCTCCAATTGCATTCTGTGCAGGTATGTTTTGGAACATTGACATATGGGTCCTTCAAGTTTGACACCATGTGCAAGAACGATCCCTCGTCTTGTCTTTCTTTTTCTTATGAATAAAGCATCATGTTTTGTTTGATTTTATTTTATTGTGCAATTGGTTTTTGGTGCAGATGATGTCAACTGACAATTTAGTGAAGAACTCAAATTATGATCCGTCATCAGGATGCTTCAGGGTTCCTTCAAGGACAACTGCTGTGTTTGTTGAGCCTCGGAACATTCAGGAGTAGGAGTTGACTTTTGAGGTCAACCCTATGTTTTTTTTTTTAATCCAAAAGGATGTGCATATTGTTTACATATCTAACACCAATAACAAGTTTATTCCTAGTGTTTGTTATAAACTTTGAATTAATCATAAATTTCTTTTGTAGTGATTCATGAGGAGGTGCATAGTCAAGATGTAGAGTACAAGTGAGAAATGCAGGCCAAGATAAATAAGGATCTGTGATTGTTTTGTTAGAGTTTTATGATAATAGTATTTAATGTTGTGAAAGTCAGCTCCTGCATATAGTTGTGTGCATTGCTGATCACTTGTTTGGAGTGACAACTTGTATTTTAGTAATAATGTCCATATGTTCTAACAGCTTATATATATAATATATATATATATATATATATATATATATATATATCTAATAATGACAGTTTTCTTTAAGGAAAAAAACACAAGCCTTCCATCCATAAATAATTGCAACAATTCCCAAGTAAACCTAATAAAATTTAAAATTAATCAATTGATGATTTCATGCATATTCTGCTTGACCTATTATATGCCTTTTGCTTATTCTGTGAAATGTGTTGGCTTTTAGTTAGTTGCAACACCCATGTCATGTTGAGTTGCTTGGAAGCATCTCTCTCCCTCTCTTATTATATATTTATGTATTATGTATATGTATAAACACAACCACACACACACTCAAACACAAGTAGTGGGAGTGGAGTACAGGGAAAAATAAATAATAAACCAAGATGCATCTTGGTTTAAGAAATAGGCTGTATTTTTTGGCATCTACATGCTCTCTCTCTCTCTCTCTCTCTCTCTCTCTCTATATATATATATATATAATATATATATATATGAAAAGTTCTAATAGAGAACCAAATATTTTTTTCAAGTTTTAGAGCTTATTCTTTATCGAAAAAAACTAAAAATATCTAAATTCATAACATCACATTGTGAATGGTAATATATTTTTCGGATTTACCGTGTGAATTCAGATTCACATTGTGAATTTGACGGAAAAAAAGTAATTTTTTTTATCGAATTTGATATCACTGGAAAAAGAAACAAAAATTATAAATTTCTGTATTTTTAGTTTTTTTTATTGATAAAAAAATAAGCTCTAAAACTTAAAAAAAAAAAAAAAGATCGGTTCCTTGGTTTCATAATTAATAATGGTTCTCTATTGAACCTCACCATATATATATATATATATATATATATATATATATATATATATATATATATTATATAATATATAGATAGGGCTAGGTTATTTTGTTTCTTATATTTATTGTGTGCTAGAATGCACCGATAGGAATTTAGTAAATTAAACAATTATTTAATTAAATAAATATAGATATTAAATGATTTCCATAATTATATGTATATTAAATGATATCCATAAATATAATTCTCTTTTTATGGAAACTAATTAAATTCGTCATTAATGTCAGCAATAACATTCTTTCAGAATGAATTCGCATCTAGGTTTTTATATATGAATTTGTATTTTGTTTCAGGACTCATTCACTTAAAATATAATAAAGTTGCATGGAATATGAAGAACGAGAGTGTATCTCATTCTGCTGGAATACATTCTCATTCTTCTAAATATGAATTCATTCTGAAAGAATATTATTGTTGACATTAATGACGAATTTAATTAGTTTCCATAAAAATGAGTTATAAGTATGGATAACATTTAATATACATATAATTATTACTAAATTCTCATTGGTGCATTCTAGCACACAATAGATGTGAGAAACATTTGAATCTCTCTCTCTCTCCCTCTCTCCTCTCTCTCTCTCTCCCTCATCTCTCTCTCTATATATATATATATATATATTATATATATAGATAGATATAATATATATATATATATATAATTTATATATATAGCTTATGTTCAATCGAGAACAATTATACACGCGAGAACAATCGAGAACAAATATGAGCCTTTAATTTTAAACTTTAAAATATAAAATTTTATTAAATGAATTTATTATATTTATTAATTAGACTAATACAAAAGCCTCCACCTTACTATGACGTCTCTCAGTCTCTTTTGAAGTTGCACCACCCACTTAGACCACTGGACTATTACCGAAGTCACCGTCCGTCATCGGAATCGCCGGACTAGCACATGAATCAACCAACTGTTTCCTCTCCCTTTTCTCCCGATCTAGTTTATCACCACCTCTCTAGATCTACTTGTTGCCATCTCCCTCTGCCTCCCACCATTGACCAGAGTTGACCCTTAAAGGGGTTATAAGTTTGAAAGAGTAATTAAAAGAGATGTTATGTGTAGGAGTTTGAGGAGAGTTGATCCTAGCACCGATGATAGTTCAGCTACTTCACGACATTGAGGTGAGTTACCTTCCAGTTGAAGTGGGTCTAAGGCCACAATGCCGGCCTACTAGTAGGAGATGTTTGTTAGATGATTGTCTTCATGATAATTGTCTGATATGCCACTATCTGTTATGTTTTATGTGCTAGTATGTTATGTTATGATATGGTAGTGGTATGGGGTGAAATAGTTCCAGTTACACATTGAAAGATACCGAAGGGGAGGCCAGCACCCAGATATGCTAGGCAATATATGATACATGTATGTATGCTAGGGTATTATGTGATAGTAGTAGGTGTGAAATAGTCCCCGTATACGGTTGAAAGAGGCCGAAGGGGTAGGCCAGCACCTAGATATGCTAGGCAGTATCCGATTGAAAGAAACTGAAGGGGTAGGCCAACACCCAGATATGCTAGGCAGTTACCGGTTTAAAGAGACCGAAGGGGTAGGTCGGGCACCCGGATATGCATGACAATATGTTATTGTATGGTATGTGGTATGACGGGGGAACTCACTAAGCTTTGTGCTTACGGTTTATAGTTTTGGTTTCAGGTACCTCTTCTTCAAAGGGGAAGGAGCCGGCATGACTGCAACGCATCACACACATGATTTTCCGCACATGAGATTCTTGGGATTTGTACTCTAACATTGTTACTATTTGATGATATGGTTTTGAGACACGTGATCTATGGTTTTTATGAAATAAATTACTTGATGATGTTTTCTTATAAATTGTTTTATTAATCGTTATATTAAAAATGAAATTTTTGGTCTTGAATTTTGGGATGTTACATTTTGTGTATTGAAATATGAAGTTTTTGTATTAAGCTATTATTTTTGTGTTTTAAACTGTAAATTGACTGCATTAAGATGCAAATTTTCTGTTTAAATTGTGAATTGCCTATATAAGCTATGATTTTTTTTAATAAACTATGAATTGATTTTATTAAGCTATAAATTGACTAGTATTATGTAGTTTTTTATAATTTTTTTTTGTTTGCTTGTAAAATTTAAGATTGAAGAAATATTATACACAAATACGATTTTATCTAATTTTGAATAAAATATGTAAAATTTAAACTGTGAATATTTATGTAAATAAACTTTAAAAGAAACACTAGCATATAGATATGAAGATATAAATGTAAGTTTTAAGTTGATAATATGACTATGTATATATAATTTTTGTGCATTAAACTGTGAATTTATTAAATTAAGTTGTGAATTTTGTGTACTGAACTATGAATTGAATGTATTAAGATGTGAATTTTCAATGAATTTTGTGTTCAAATATGAATGATTTATGTCTGATTTATTGTTAACTTTTTTGTGAATATATGTAGTTTTTGTGTTGTATAAATATGTAAGAATGTATTAGTTTTTATAACTATTTTGCATTAAACTCTAAATACATGAATTAATTAGTTTATTAAACTGTAAATATACTATTTAAGCTGCTAATCAATGATTTTATATACAGATCCGATTTGGAAGGAAAGATGGTTGTGACGGTGACACATGTGTTGCTGGTGGCGCGTGATAGTACTTGGTGATGGTGATGGTAGCGTTTGAGTTTGAATTCTTTGAATATATGGATTGGTGTATAATGAATTGTATTATGTTATGTTGTAAATTTTATGTAATAAACTAAAAATTGACTGTATTAAATTGTATATTTTATATAAATTTTGTGTTAAAATATGAATGAATGTATGCATGAAAACATTAAATTGTATATTAGTAAATTAATATGTTTATTAAATTGTGATTATGATATTTTAAACTGTGAATATGTCTTATACACGATATATTTTTTAAAGAGATCTACAATTATAAAAAAGAGAAAGTTAAATTTGTCAAGGCATAAATCTTTTTTTTTATAAAAAAAATTTATTTGGCTGAAAAAATAAAATGTTATGTATTAAAAAGTATTACCAATGAAATAAAAATTACAATGTTTATTCTATTAAACTGTGAATATGACCAAAAAATTCAATTGGATTTGGTGTTAGTCCAAAGGTGGTCCGGCGGCTGTCCAACAACAACTGACAACTAGTTATAAATAAAGAATGAAAAAGTTTGTTTAATATAATATTAATGTTTAATTTTTCCAAAATTCCCTTAATCAAAACAATTAAAAAAAGGGGTTGGCTAAAAAGACACCCCATATTACAATATGGACACCCCAATTAATTTTTTAAATATTTTATTGGTTAAAGTTGCATTGTTTTCCGAAAAAAGTGATTATAAGCAGTTAATTATTGGCTGACTTTTTATAAAAGTGTCAATAGGGTGTCTTAAAAAAATGGTTCTTAACCTTTTTGGGTTCTCATTAGAACCACTCCATATATATATATATATATTATATATATATATATATATATATATATATATATATATATATATATATATATATATATATATATATATATATATAGAGAGAGAGAGAGAGAGAGAGAGAGAGAGAGAGGTTCAGGTATTCTAACTAAGTATTGTATTATTGTATGCATGATTGTGGAACAATAAAAAATTAATAGAAAAAACAATAATTAAATAAATCAATAAGGGTAACTAGGTAATTTGAGAAATAACTTCCACAAATCCTCCCTATAATTTTGCTAGTTACGTTGATTTTAACCTAATTCCCCCCTTTTATATACGGCCTACGACTGATCTGATCAATCTTCATCACCGGTGTAGGATCAATCTTCATCACCGGTTGAAGACTCCTTCACGCCGACCATCCAATCGGCTACTGACCTAATTTCCTGGCGACGATGAAGAAGATACTGAAGAACCCCACTCCCGCCGTTGAAGATGCCATCACCAAATCCAAAAAGAGAACACGAAAGGTCTCCCAATCGAAACCGCAACCAGCGTTTACCATCGGCGACATAGAAGATTTTCAATTTAAGGAAGACGAAGTTAAAGAAATTAGGGCATCCTTGTTGAAATGGTACGACGTTAACCGGAGAGACCTTCCATGGCGGAGGATCAACGATTCCGATGATGA